GTAAGCCGATCAGCTGCGATTTTGAGTGGGAGTAAGAAGCATGGCGCACCCCAAAATGGGTTTACTACCTCCAGCGCTTTATCCTTCTATACTTTTTTTCGGGAGATGTCATTGGGTAGACACCATTCATCACGGTAGCTTTCGTCTATGCAAACACTTTTGGGTGACTGGATCATTGGTTACGATTACAGTAATCCACTGCGGCTGTCCTAGATTGTAGACTTGATCCCTCACTAAAGCCCAGCGCGATGGGTTTTTTACCCCGGTAACCTCGACGCGTGTGAAGACGACTTTCTTGCGTATCGATTGAATTTCGCGTTTCGTCGACTGGTTTCGAGTCGATCATACCTCTATACCATCTTCTCGTCACCCCCCATTTCAAACGTTTCCTACGCCAAATTTCCCATTTGAACGTCTAGTCATCAAAGAATTCCAATATTAAAAAATCACCACGGCTAACACGTGGGCCATGTTGACCGAAATTATCTCCATCGAATCAAATTTCGTCTAATATTTGTGTCTAGCGCCGTGTTACTCATCGATAAAACAAAGGCCCATTTCGAGACCTGACCTCAGCTTATCTTACCATACACTTGGTTATTTCTAACGCCGCTTCCGGTGAGATAGCGCCTTTTCAAGTCCGAGAAACGGCGGTCGCACGTAGCCGGATAATCGTAGATTTAGATCACCGTAAATTCCTTTGAAATAGCTGGCTGCACGTTTTCTTCGCTTGATTAGGCATTCGCTTTTCTTCTTACTTTTATTCAGTAATTCATTTGAGCCTTCATTCGATTTGATGTCTTAACTATTCCTCTATACGCTGACGTCAGAAAACCAGTTGTTCAGCCTTTTACTGCACTTTTAGGTTTACTGCAGTCTCATGACGAGTTATTTACCCTTTCAGTATTTCAGCGACGTTAGAGGAATCGAGTCCCGTTCCGAAGTTCGCCTTTTGCGGTACACCTCCAGTCAGTCCAGTAGACACCTCCAGTCAACTACTAGAAATAGTAACTTTCTATTGCACCGCCAACTAGGGGGAGGGTCACAGATAGCGTGTCTGAGGGAACTAAGCGACTATGTCTCGCAACGAAACTGCTGGCACATTGCTAACGTCGAGCTGTATGGAACAATGACACCTTAGCCATTTGCGAGAGGGTATAGAGAGGCCGCAATTGTGATTATGGTTGGGCGTATAGCAGGCCGTATGACGTGTTGCGTGTCTGTCTCTGCCTGCCGTATCAAATGGCAGACAGAGACAGACACGCAGACACAGTCCCCCGGCTTCATTTTCGCCATCTTTGAAGTGGCCACGGTAGAACATTTCTACAGCTCCGGATCTACCCATTAAGAGGTAATGGGATAAAAAAATCTATGTTTTTTTCTGAATGACTGTTTCTGTTTTATTATTTAGGAATGTGTTGCTGTGGAGAAATGCCCACATCATTGTTGTTTTGTTCGTTTTCTTCTATGTTACAGTTTTGTTTTTTCTGCTTTTTTGAAGCTGTTTAAATTCACAGTCTGTTTTAACCAGCAATATGCTCTATTAATAATGAACTGTTTTGAATGAAATGATTTGTAGAGTGTGTGGCGCAGTGAGATGGTATATAGAGAACTCCATCGACCTCAATCTAAGGTTAACAAACAGAAATTGAAAACGAAAAATTCAAGAAAACCCTACGGTGCTATAAAAATATCAGCTGATACAAATACTGAGCTGGTTCGTTTTTGCTTGGCTTCTAAAAAATGAGCGGAAGTGGGGAAGTTGTCAACAATCAACTACTAACTTCTATCACCAGAAGGTTGTATGGGACTTTGATTACGTAGCGAAGTGAGAAGGGAGCAGGGGAGGCAGCGAACTTCTCTCGCGGGTCGGGAAATTTTCTGTCAGGTCCAGATTTGACATCTATACACCAAAAATGACCCACCCCTCACCCTCTTCCCCCTCCTCCGGGCAACCAGGGATGACCTCCTTTCATGGGGTTCACACAACGACCAGCTACCATCCAAAATGGGGACCATGGTACAGCTTAGGAATGGGAAAAATGGCGGTGTCAGACCACCTTACCCCTCCCCCATAAGATTTCTTCCTCCGATACAACCCTTTCCCCTTCCTACCGACCATCTCCTTTACTTTTATCCACTTCTCACCACCTTCTCCCAACTCTTCGAAGAATCCCCGAATCTTGTTCGAGAACTGTTGTCGAGCAGGTTGTCAACGCTCACTCAACTACCAGAAATACTAGCTGAATGGGACACTGAGGACGTGGCTGATTGAGGCGGCGGAGGGGGGGGGGAGGAGTGTGGCGGTGAATTTCTCTCGCGTATCAAGAAATTTTCTATCAGTGCCAGATATGACACTCATTAGCCAAGTGCGACTCACCCCCTAGCTCCACCTACTGGCCGAGGGATCCAGGACGACCACCACTGATCGGATTCTGGCATGCTGTGTCCTAGCGTGGACTGTGCTCCCCATCTCCGCGGTATGGAACGTGCATGGATGTCATTATTTCTTCCCTCCCTGTTGTGGACTGAATTCCTTGGGTGATTTTGACATCGTTAGCCCTTACATGGTGAGGGCACCCAAAAATTTTCCTTCAAGCCCCCATGGAATGGAGTAATGGAGCCACGGAGCAGTGAGTAATAAATACAAAAAAATTTTACACAGCCTCTACAGCTTTTCAAAATTCAACGCACAAGGTGACGTATCTATCACGGCTTCGCCACGACGATAAAAACTCTCTCCACACGAGGACGCAGACAAGAAACGCGTTGTTCCTTGTTGATAGCAAATGCACATTCCGCGGTAGCAGGATGTGAGTAACAAGGCACAGCCATAGCTTTTTTGGCGCGATGGGACCATTCTGTGAGCGGGCAAATGGAAAAGAAATCGGTGCTAACGCATTGGGGAAGAGGGGGGGGATGGAGAGAAGAAGGAAGTGGAGGATGCGGCACGGTGTATCCCTCGTGTGTGGCTGGCTTCAGTGAGGGTTTTTCGGGGTAAGTTTTCAATTTCAGTGGTACAACATGAAACACCGAGATTCCAACAAGGTGAGGCATTGAACGCTAAAAAAACGAGCAAAATTGTAAGAAACTAGACGCGGGGCCCGGGCGATTCTATCGTCGGCAAGTCAGGTCACGTCGCGCACATCGCGTCGCGGCGTCTCGCGCGGCGGCGCGGTGCGACAGTTCCGGAGTTGCATTACCGACATACAAATGAGTCTCGAAGACCGCGTATTCACAAGTTCCGAAAAGCCCAAAATTGGATCAGTAATTTTGAGCAAATAACGTGGACCAGTCTTACACCCCTACTTTGAATGCGGTAAAAACAATCCATTGAATCATCATATGAAAAATGGGAAAAGCAGTACAGGATTAACATGAACAATATGGCTTGATGATCATTTTAACAATTTCAACGAGCACGACGCAGCAGGACTCGTACGCGGCGCCCACCAGCGCGGCGACCTACTTATCATCGACGATAGAATCGCCACACACCCACTAGACGCGGTGGCCCTTTTTTGTGGGATATTGCCACTTTCGGACAATTAGATCCATCTCCAGCACAAGACGAGTTTTCTCACATTGTTCGAAGAAAGTCCGCGGCCACGCCCCCTCCCCCACCCTCTCCCCCTTCACCTCTAAGATACGGAGTGTGCAGAAGTAAGGAATACGCTCACGTATGTAAGACCCCGCATCAATTCCAATAAAACGCATCAACATTATTTATCTGTACCAAAGATATGAGAAATATGACCGAAATGAAAGGTGATGATGATATGTGGAATAATGAAAGGAAAATGAGCTGGAAACTAATGTGGAACTGATTTCACCCTCACGACAATCGTGCAACTTCTCTTCGGATAACTACAGGAGCTCCGTATACTATCATTTGGACGGATCTTCCTTATGCGTGTGAAGTGGGTCCCCGGCCATCCAAAATGAGGGCCACTCGGATTGCCCGCCTTAATCGGACGATCCTCCTTATGCGTGTGAAGTGGGTCCCCGGCCATCCAAAATGAGAGGCAGTCGGATCGCTCGCCTTAATCGGGCGATCCTCCTTATGCGTGTGAAGTGGGTCCCTGGCCATCCAAAATGAGGGCCAGTCGGATTGCCCGCCTTAATCGGGCGATCCTCCTTATGCGTGTGAAGTGGGTCCCCTGGCCATCCAAAATGAGGGCCAGTCGGATTGCCCGCCTTAATCGGGCGATCCTCCTTATGCGTGTGAAGTGGGTCCCCGGCCATCCAAACTGAGGGCCAGTCGGATCGCCCGCCTTAATCGGGCGATCCTCCTTATGCGTGTGAAGTGGGTCCCCGGCCATCCAAACTGAGGGCCAGTCGGATCGCCCGCCTTAATCGGGCGATCCTCCTTATGCGTGTGAAGTGGGTCCCCGGCCATCCAAACTGAGGGCCAGTCGGATCGCCCGCCTTCGGCGGGCGATCCTCCTTATGCGTGTGAAGTGGGTCCCCGGCCATCCAAACTGAGGGCCAGTCGGATCGCCCGCCTTAATCGGGCGATCCTCCTTATGCGTGTGAAGTGGGTCCCCGGCCATCCAAACTGAGGGCCAGTCGGATCGCCCGCCTTAATCGGGCGATCCTCCTTATGCGTGTGAAGTGGGTCCCCGGCCATCCAAACTGAGGGCCAGTCGGATCGCCCGCCTTAATCGGGCGATCCTCCTTATGCGTGTGAAGTGGGTCCCCGGCCATCCAAAATGAGGGCCATCGCTGATAAGAACATCAATAAAACAAGAAAGTTCCAGGGCTAAGTCTACAACGGTCGTCTGGGTGGAGTCAGGCCACAGTGCTTTCCTCATTGACGCATGCTCAGTCCTAAGGAGTTCATAGGAGCAGCACTGGGAAGGCACTACGATACATTGCATTGGTGCTCCGTGCCTTATCGAAGACTAGGAAAGCGTCAGTGTGAGAAGCACTGTGACAGGTGTAGCTCCATCCATATGGCAAGCACGGAATATACCCTCATGTTCTGTACATAGTATTTTTTAGTAGGTTGTGATTGCGGGCTCTGTTTTTTGAGAACCATTCCACTTCTGTTCGAGCTCGTGTATCATTCGGTGATATTCGTCGTCAATTTCCTTTCTCCACTCATCCAGACGTTGAAGAATCTTGAGGGGCGGTACAATCAGGTTCAAGTCATGGTTCCATCCAGGTGCCACTGGAAAGAAAACGTTACGTGAAGTCACTAAAAATGGTGGAATTTTGCAGTCACTTGTGCATTGGTCGAGGAGTACCGGAGATTTCAGCGTGTCAAACCATGGGAAAAATAGAGGCCCCCAGAGAACTCTGAAAAATAGTGAGGTTGTGATTCTCAAATAATCTCGTAGTATTTGAGCAACGTTTCCTTCTATTCTTATTGCTTCATCACGTTCTCGTTTCAGAATACATCCACTGGCTGTGAGCCATAAGGATTTTACTGGCGAGGCAGGTGGGAAAGGCTGGGGGAGGGGAGGGAAGAGGAGCGCTTGCATGCAGGCGATCTGTACAGCAATCAAGCAAACAAACAAACATCGCGAGGAAGATTGAGTAAGTTCTGAGTAGTTTTTTCTGAGGAGGAGAATTTCATGAAGGGATCAACCGTAAAAAAACTTGGGTTCAATTCTATGGATAAGTCGCTTTTTCGAAATCTATTCCTGCCCCCCCCCCACCTTATAAGATGATATTCTAAGCACTTATCATTAATGTTATTAACAGATCATTGGCACTATCCTATTCTGGAACTAGTTAAAAGCCTTACCCGATGTTTTCAACTCTGTATTTTTTCTTGTCAGCCTCTTTTCTTGCATGGAACATGAAATCGGTAGCAGGATTCCAGTGACTGTTTGTGAGCCACCCATCACGGGCCCATCCTTCCCCCCTAAAATTGCTCTTAGTAATTCAAAAGCATGGTTCCCACTGATCATATGGGCGAGTTTATCAATGAGCCTTATCCATCGTTCCACCTCAAACACTTTTAAAGGCAGTTGGCACGATAAACCCCTAAGACGAGTAGGATTAATACGCCTGGCAGGACGGAATTCCGCGACCCCAAGCAGGCCCTGCGTAGCGTTTTTCCCGAGGAGAGTACTCTTTATAAGGCCTCATCAAGCTACAGGATACCGACCCGAACGCCCACCACGTCCGCCCGCCCACAAATGGACGACTGTAGCTGGTGCTCGTATCGCTTTATTTGCTAAGTAAATATGGAGCGAAGAGACTGGTATGAAGCGGCCACGGTGCTGCATGGATATATGAGTACATACGTGCAGCCGTATCTACCGTAGCGGTTATTGGCAAGATGCCTACGGGAAACTCGTCCAAAATTGCTTTTTGAGTCACTGAGAACGAAGGGTTTTCTTCGCAGTTTCTGACAGTGTCACTCCGTTTTTTTCGATATTTTCCCGGTAAATAGCGGCCTGCTGGCATTTTAGGCCGAGTACCGAATTATCGTGCCAACTGCCTTTAAAGAGGAGAGGAGTGTCAACGAGGGAAACACAATGAAAAGTCCGATTCCGCCCATACGACCAACGTGGAAGGTGTCTTCGGAATTCGTAATGATGGCGCTTTTAGCTTATTTAATCATGATAATTCATACCTTTTCATGGATGCGAATATTAGATATGTTTGTAGCGCGCAACACTTCACGGCAACATACAGTGTAGTAGGACAGACTGGCATAGTTGAAGGATGCATTCCAGAGCTGCTCACATCGCTCGACATTTCCATCATCCAAGCGAATTGCTTGACCATCCACATCTGCACAACACCTTCTTACCATTCATTGTGAATTCAGTAGTTATTCCATTGCATGTTCAGCAGGACAAAATAGTCCACACCAATAGCCCTCACCTACTGGGTCATCCGGGAGATGGGAGCTATCGGTTCGTTAGTTCGACGTACAGGTAAATGTTTCAATATGGCTGGAACTATGTACAGTCCTTATCCCTGCGAATGAAATGGGGCAGTGAAGGGACGTGGGTTGGAACACAGCCATAGCAGCCTTTTCCACTGATTTTTGTCAGTTCGGGAGGGCATCTATCGAGCTACCATGTTTGATCTCCAACTAACGAACCCTGAAATGTCCTCTCATTTGCAGGGATGATGACTGCATAACTTCGGTGATCGTTTTATCCGATGAACGCGAATATCACCTCCGTTTGGCGCTGGCGCGCTTATTCAGGGATGGATTATGGAACTATACGAGGTGAACCTCTCCAAGGTGAATCTCTGATTTCACACAATTAGTATGTTGTGTGGTTATTTATAAAATAGTGATGAAGTGGAGGAAGGGTGGCGAGGGGTATTGCTGAAAATTCCGAAATAACTGCAGGGTCACCAGAATGAGATTTCCTCTTGGTCTTCACTATAGTTTCTGGCTCTCTTAGCGGAGGGACGCAAAGGATTCAAGCCTAAACATAGGCAATGGAGGCGGAACTTCGCTCAGTTTTCTTCTCTACTTACTTATTACCTCAGAGTAACTAATTTCGAACACCCCTCCCTACAGTCTATTTCTCTGGGATCAAAAAGGCGTATCAGATCCTTAGTTGTGAGCGAGGCAAAGCAACTACACTTAGTGGTTCGTCCAGAGATGAAGGCAGGTGCATAAGAGAGCGCGGGCGGCACCAGAGAAAGCCGATCCATCCCTTAATAAGTTTAGGATAATGGCGGCATAAAGGACAGTAAAACTGAGCGTAATGTTATGAACTCGCCCAGCATACATATAAGGCCTCCAGAGCGTACCAACGCAGCACTGTCCTAGCCGAGGGTTGTCAGCTTGGTAACCTTGTATACATCTCTCACCCGTCTGTCCGACAGCTACTGTTCACAGCACTTGGTAACGCCCTACCCATCTTCTCAGGCATGGAGGGCGCATTGATACCTCTCTTTTGTTCGGGTATGTGACAAGGCAAGTTGCAATATGCCACACTGGTGTGCGTGGCGAAAGCCGCCCCCGCGAACGAACGATTTGTTCGCTTCGCTTTTTCGCTTAACAGTTTGAACCTAACATAGAGGGACGGAAAACATCAACATCACTCGGCATGGAATCTCGCCTACTCTCAAATTCGCATAAATTTTAATGCTTCAATCAGCAAAATGGTACACACAATGTCTGCCTCAAACGTTGCTTCGCCGCCCGCGATTGCGCGGCGAAACGGTTGACCTATCGCACCTTTTGTTTGTTCGTTTTGTTTCCTCCGTCATGTGAACTGACATTCCCAGTAATCTTCGATTACCCTGCAAGTTCCGTGGTAGCCCTTACACGGTAAGGGCAATCAAAAATTGTGCTTTCGAAGTTGCGGGTTTCAAGCAGAAAAATAATGAAAAATAAAAAAATCTAAGGAGATCCTCCCATCTTTCAGAATTTAGCGCACTAGGAGACGTATTTATGGCGGTTCATTACAACCTTGGAAACTCTATTCACAAGAAAACGCTGACAAGGAACGTCACGAACGTGTTCCTCCCTGTTAAGGGCACTCTCCGCAATAGAAAGATGTGAGCTACGTAGATAGCCCCCGCGCTCAGGCCATGTACAATACAATAAAAAAAAAAATGTAGTACATGGTCGTCCTTTCTTGTGCGAGTAGTACAGCCCCCAAGCTAGAGACTGTCCCACTCTCGCGACTCCACAGCGAGCGAGGAGCGAGCTACAGCCGCTGAAAGTTCTAGTTCTAACGCCCGCTCAGTTGGACCGCCCACTTGCTAGATGCCCTCTGACGGAGGGCCGCTCAGTTGTTCTTTGTTGGGGCGGCGGGCATTAATCGGAATTGCATGCCCTTTTTGCTGACCGCGCTCGTGCCCATGAATGATTCTGCTCTCCTTTATTACATTGGGAGCACATACAGTCAACTCCAACCCCTCGCAAGGTGAAACGCGTAAAAATCACGAGCGACCCAATTTTCGTGGTGCAAAAGCTCGACGCACTACACTACACTAAAAGATGCACGCTACCGTAACCCTAAATTCGGACGCCGAGTTTTTGGAAGTTTCTTTTCCTTTTCAAGAGTTTTTCTTCCTATGTTTTTTTTTTTTCGTATTCTTTTCTTTGCATTGATGATATCCACTACTGGGAGATGTGATAAAGGGATTTGTGAGCCAGGGTTGCACAGAGACCGCAGGGAGGTGTGACTGTCAGGGAGCGATTTTGTTTCATGGTGTTCTTGAGGACTCTTCTTGCTTTTTTTTTTCTTTGGAGAGTTACTCATCAGCTACTGTTTCGTAATTGAAAAGCAACAATCCATGACACTTTTATCGCGAGAGCTGTTTTTAAGCGCAAACATCATATTTGGGAGAGAGGCGATGCTATTGTGAGGTAGTCAGGTCACGGCGTTCACGTCGCGCGTGGCGAGATACAGTCCACATCACTACATATGTAGGGGCGTGTCCGCGGACTTCGTTGTGAGCACTGCACCGTCACTTTCGCGCGCGCAGCTGACTCCATGGGCACGCCCAGTCCAGACGTTCTGATATGAACTACACATAATTCATTGTGAGATTGTCATCGATTGGAGATCGAAACGAGGTCAAGACTGACATTACGATGAAATGGGGTCTGAGGTGCCGTGTTTATTAACCAGATGGGTGACAATGCTCAGTAACGAAATCAGGGTTTGATGGGTGTGGGAGCGTTACCCTTATAAGCTCTACAAAGTTTACCTATCTCATTCGAAACATCCACGAATAAGCACCTGCACTGCTAGCCCTTACGAGGTAAGGGCTACCAAAAATTCGACGATCAACGGGCTACGACCTGGTTGAGGTTATCTGATGAACGACAATGGGAGCTCATAGACTCTACTGAGACTTCTTGCCATTTAGGGTTTTCGAGCATTGTTTTATTATTTCGCATCGTATAACGTATAAGCGACGGGTCTGTTACTCGTATTTATTATACGACAACATTGTGCGTACGAGGACAATTTAATACCAGCACCAACTACTGCGGATAAACGTTATCGGCGAATACTAAAAACACACAATAATAACAAGAAGTCAACATGAACTAATATTGGGCCCCACGGACTCTAGCATTCATTCAATAGCTTCTTGAATGTACTGTAGCTTAACGTTATTCGGATGCTTTTTAATGAGTTTCTCATTGAAGGTAAGGCTCATTGAATGGGAATATGACACCTACTATTCAGTCTTGCTAAGCAAGGTTGTACTTGAAGGCAATTCCCGTGATCAGGTGTGAAATGCTAGGTGCTTAGGTGCTCAATCATGAACCAGTAGCCCACAAGTAACTCCCGAGTGGAGAAAGAAGCGAAAAGAGACCTTGCAAACACTCTGAACAGAGACTGTCTTAGCAGTGGACGAGTGAACGAGTTTGTCGGGCGGGGCAAGCCCAAGCAGCAGGATTCGTAACCGATTCCCGGCAAAAGCATAACAAATCACCCTACGAGGCGCCAGGAAACGCTGTGTACGCACGCAACTCCGACTGTAAGCCGTTGTTTTGCAGTGCATGGAATAATCGGTTACGGGGCTGTTGTCAACCAGACGTGCTCTCGCTGCGAGGGTCCAGGGTTATTTTCACGAGGCATCTACCAGTCCAGTAGTTGAAGGGAGAAGGTAAAGGAGGAGGGATCAGAGAAGGAAGGAAGGAAAAGAAGGAGGGAGGAAGAAAAAAGGGAGAGAGGAGAGGCTTCTCGGTTGACATGCGCCCTGAGACGGCAATGATCACGCGTCTCTGGCTTATTTATCTCACCGTTTTGAGTGGCGAAAGTGGTATGTTCTTGAATGCGACAACGATGCCAAATGCACGGAGGCATTTCGCGGACCACTTGATCGCGAGAACTGACTTTAACAGTGCGTCCTCGAGTAGCGGATAATTGATCTAAAAAAGACGTTCAGGTTCAAGAGGTCCACCGTGCATAAATACTTATGCAAAAGCGGGAGATCGTTCCGCTTCTCCTGAGCACAAGACTAACGGCACCTGCGGGGGCATGCCCGCAGACTTTGTTTGGGCGGCTGCTGCGGTGCGGGCCCATGCAAAGGCATAAACAAGCGTAAGAAGGTGCAAACTGTGCACGAAAACATTGACACACCCACGACCCCTCTTGCCCTTGCATCACAGTTTCTCCCGGGCACAGTTGCTTCTACGACCGCAGCTTACTCCGCGGACACGCCCTGTAAAACGTCCTGACATGAGTATTCATAATTTTCTAGGATTGCATTGGACCTCCGAAGGAGTGCCACGTGGTCCTTCTTTATCAGTTAATTGACTGGGGGTCGAGATGAAAAGCGAATAGGTTTGAATTGTCGTCTCTAGTCACCACACGGGCGACAAGT